AAAAAAAAAAAAAAAAAAAAAAAAAAAAAAAAAAAAAAAAAAAAAAAAAAAATGGCTTCCCATGGTATAAATCATATTCAGTACAACAGTAAACTACTCTACTGGATGGAGTTCCTGTTTGCTTCTGGAACTGTTAGCAGCTACATGTATTTGTCTGCCAAAACTTCCCAGGCATTTTATGTGACTTTTAGGAATAAAAAAAAGGTTTCAAAGAAAGCAATGATAAGTAGAGACTTAGGCTCAACAGATAATGAACCTGAAATAATTTGGGCTTTTAAGGAAGCAGAGAGGAATATAAAGAAAGAACTGTAAAATGAAGAATAACGTTAAATACATCATTGTCTCCAAAATGCAGTGTGTATGACGATTCATTGGGATTTTAGAAGAAAATATGATTTCTACTTTATCTCATACTCTGTTAATACAGTGGTGCATGTGTATGGTTATAAATAACATATTATGGGTACATAATAAAAAACGCTTGAAAATCCCTGAGCTAGTGCCCCAGCTTTGCCACTTACAAGTTTTGGACCTCAGGCAAGTCATTTCATTTCTCCAAACTTCAATTTTATCATCAGTCTCCTAGAAGTTTTGCCTCTAGAAAGAGAATTATTTTGAGGATTAAATGAAATACTGCTATGTGTATGGTCTGGCTCAGTATCTGGCCTAGAATAAAGGCACAATTAATGATACTCGTTATTTGTTATGAAATCAAGGAAAAATTTTAAATGGGGAATTTACCTTTAAAGAATCTCTGCAAGGTCAGTAACTCTGCCTGGTTATTACCAGGAAATGCTGCTTTAATGTAAGAAAAATCACAGAGCCACAGATGGAGCTACCTGCCACCATGTTGCCATACCCATAGGGACTGACCAGCAGCAGGTCTGTAACATGCCAGATATAGGTCCCTTCCTCAAAAAGGAGATCTACCAGTGTGCATTTCTACCGAGAGTTCACAGAACTGTGGATGGAATGTCTTGTCAGTGCCCTTTGGAAAAGACATCTTCCCATCCACCCTTGCCCTATTCTTTTTTTTTTTTAAGGCTCCAAACTACTAAACTGCTACTACTAGTACTTGATCTGTTTATTACACATCCAACTCTCAGAGCTTATGAGTGACCTCTGAGTCCTCTCCTTGGATTCTGGTTGTAGCTTCTTGAAAGCTCCCTTCCATCATCTGATACTGTACATTGCATGGTGCCATGCAATTTGTGGACCACTTTCCACATCTTTTATTGCATCATATTCACAGGATTTAGGCAACACTTCCTCAGAAGTACTCTCTTAACTTCATTCGAAGGAATATATGTAATTACTTATGTTCTTCCATCCCCAATTATAATAAGGTTATAGAAAGCAAAGTAAGAAAAATAAAGAGATTATTTACTGTTGGGTTTCTCAGAACTTTCAGACATATTAATATGCACTGTGAATTTTCAAGGCAAGGCAAATGTCTGCAGTGTATGCAGGGGAGATCCTGGTCTCTGGTCACACAGCTAGTATATGATATATAGAGAGCTCAAGCCTTATTTTTGGTCTTTTCTTTGACCAGGGGCAGTTCCTATTCATGCTGCCCTGGAACTGATGGTAAGACCACAGTTTCTTTGGAATCTAAGATAGCTGACCTTTAGAAATTGATTGTTGGAGTGTGTAAGTCAGATCCCGTCTTTTTTTTTTTTTTTTTTTGAGACAGAGTTTTGCTGTTGTGGCCCAGGCTGGAGTGCAGGGGCGCAATCTCAGCTCACTGCAGCCTCCGCCTCCCGGGTTTAAGCAATTCTTCTGTCCCAGCTTCCCAAATGACTTGGACTACAGGAGCCCGCCATCATGCCCAGATAATTTTCATATTTTTAGCAGAGAGAGGGTTTCACCATATTGGCCAGGCTGGTCTTGAACTCCTAACTTGTGATCCACCCATGTCGGCCTCACAAAGTGCTGGGATTACAAAGGCATGAGTCACCATGCCCAGCCAGATACGGTCTTTTGACAGTGGGACCAGCTCATTTTGCTAACTCCAACTTGAAGATCCTCACAAGCCTTGCAGTTCCATTTATATCCTAAATTTTATATTTTATCAGGAAATCAAGACCTAGTACCAGTACCTCATACATAGACTTGATCTGCCTTTCAGGAATGAGGTGTGTTCTCAGTTATTTCCACAAAAATCAAAACAGTAATATTGTTAGTGCATGCTCTCTCAAGGGCTGAAGGCTCCAGCCTGTATGTTCTTAGTTTGCCTCATTATTACATGGGGAGTCTTCTATATATCCTTTATCTTTCTGTTATACGTTTAACTTCTCTAGAGTTTTCTTTACCAAAGTCCTTTTCCAAAGCTAAGAACATGGAATGCACTTCAGTTCGTAACATTTTTATAGCTTTGCGTTGAGAACATGTAGTCTACTCAGTCTTCTATTCTATTAGATACTCTCTTACGATATTCTTAATTTGTTTTTAACCATCAATGTGATCAGTCATTTTTTTCAATATGGATTTTATGGCTTTTCTGTAATTACCTTCCAGATATTTTTGCTCTCCTTCAATTCTGAAATGGATCTTTTATTTTCTTAGTCATAGATACCTAATTATTCAGTGGTTTTGAACTTAGCATCTATGAGGTTTTGTGCAAATTACTTAACCTTTGCTTCAGTTTCCTCTTCCTGTAAAATGTTGATGATAATAGGCCCTAACTCAGAGGAGTTAAATGAACTAATGCACTCAAAGAGCGCTCAGAGCCTGACCCATCATTAGTATCGTCCATGGTGACTTGGAGATGCTCCTGTGCCTTGCAGTGTTGGTAGGACAGCAGGAAGCAGGTGCCAGGCAGTAAGGGAGCATGGAGTATATCTGTCTCTGGGCTCAAGGTGCTGCCTCTAGGTCCTCAGGGAGAAGACCTGTCGTGTGCCTGCCAGGCCTCCTTTCAGTGTACCCATCTTCTCCCGCGTTGTTCCTTTTGCTGCCCCATTGCTTGTTAATTTCCCTTTATTTGCCGCTGAAAGTGTAGAGGAAATCAGTAGAAACTAAGCAGAATTTTGCATCATTTTTGGTTGGAGATTGACTGGTTTTTTTGTAGGGGGCGGGGGGGTGAAGAGGACAGAGTCTCACTCTGTTGCCCAGGCTGGAGTGCAGTGGCGCAATCTCAGCTCACTGTAACCTCTCGGGCTCAAGCAATTCCATGCCTCAACCTCCCAAGTAGCTTGGATTACAGGTGTGCACCACCATACCCTGCTAATTTTTGTATTTTTAATAGAGGCGGTATTGGCCAGGCTAGTCTTGAACTCCTGACCTCAGGTGATCCACCCGCCTTGGCCTCCCAAAGTATTGGCATTACAGGCGTGAGCCACCGCGCCCAGCCAGAAATTGACATTTTAAAGTAATTTAACTACTTTAGTAACAAGTGGTAAGTAGAATTTTCAATTCTTAACCATCTGTCCAGTCTCTGCAGATGAGCCAAGTTTCCCAGCATAGCCCAGCTGTCCTAAGTGCATACATCAGGTGAGCAAGTCAGGCAGGTAGACCTTGTGTCTACCCTGCTACATTGTAGGTTCTTGGTAGGAGAAATGTATTAAATACAGTAATAGAAAAACGTCAGAGGAAATTTTAGGATATTTTTCAGTTGAATATTCTGTTGACTGTAGATTTTGTTTTTGTGTTTTACTTTCTTTTTTTTATTTACCCCCAGATGAAATTCTGGTTAGATACTTTCCCAAGCATCTAATCTATAAGAAATCCTGTTTTCCTCATTTTCACCTAGTTTTCTCTGGAGTGGGAAAAGTCTAAATGTGTGGGTTTTTTTTTTTTCCTCATTGAGTCTAAAGCATAGATTTGCACTTTCAGGTAACAGTATTGGAAAAAGTATGAGGAATTCTTCTCAACACAATTAAGGATAAATTAGAGCCAGGTATTCCAGCAATGTCTTATTCTGAATTTCGCCACCTGTAAAACTTGCACAGTGGAGAGTACTGTAGAAATTGGCCATGCCATTGTTCATTGACTTTTTACCAATAAGGTCTTTTCTTTTTAACTACACAGGTTGAATGATCCTAAAATGTCTGAAACGGAGCGCCAGTCCATGGAAAGTGAGCGCGCGGACCGCAGCCTGTTTGTCCAAGAGCTCCTTCTGTCCACTTTAGTGCGTGAAGAGAGCTCGTCCTCAGACGAGGATGATCGGGGGGAGATGGCAGATTTTGGTGCTATGGGCTGTGTAGATATTATGCCTTTAGATGTTGCTTTAGAAAACCTAAATTTAAAAGAGAGTAATAAAGGAAATGAGCCTCCACCACCTCCTCTTTGATGACATCCCAATTCGCAGACAATGTCCTCTGTGCTGTATTTGCCAATGAAAGTGGACAACAACTATCTTGGGTTTGTTTGGTGATTGTAATTTCAGGTCTGTCACTCTTGTTACATTGTGTACATTCAAAAGGAAGAGAGAAAATATATATGATAATCATTTCCACTTAACTAATTTTTACTTCTAGCAGGTAAATGTAGGTAGCAGTGCAGGGGTGATCTCTGCTTCCTGTACCTTGACATGCAAAAGGCTCTCCTAATATTCCACATTCAAACTGAAGAGGAAAATTGAAATCTCTAATGAAGCTGCTGTGTGTATTTATGAATATTAATGAATAAAAACTGCTTGGATGGTTTACCTTAACTACTGCATGAGGTTTTTTGCAGCGTGCATGAGTTTTAGTGACCTTGTTATTTAAAAAATTAAATACAAGGAGTAAAACTTAAAAAAAAAAATACAAAGCCCAAAGCTTTCCCAAACATTATTCAATGGTTACACTGCGAAGTAGCTTTTGAATAATATCTGCCTGAATCACCTTTCTTTGTGTGCCTCCTACGCACAAAGCCAGCTCTGCAGTGGAATCTGGGGATTGTAGCCGGGTGTGGCACTC